AAAAAAAAAAAAAAAAAAAAAATATTCTGTGTTTATATGTAAAACTGACATAGGGGCTAGGCTGAGATAATAAACATTCACAGGTCTCATGGCAGATCTTCACTGTGCAGAAACTACTCACTAAAATGTTGCAGGATGCCCAACATGCCTGGCCTCTGCAAGTGGCACTTACTGAGCACGACAATACCAAGACCCCAGAGGGTGGCCCTGTCGCTATTGGGAGTTTTTCATGGCCTTGTCTGTTAGATGGAAAAGCATAGATGGCTGGCTGGCCTCATTCAAGGAGTTCAAATCCATTGGAGAGGCTTACCACTGGGAGGGATGTTTCTAGTGCCTTCCCTACTTCTCTACAGAGAAAGATGAAGGCTGTTGGACATTAGTCTTTTTCTTTCAGTTTTATTGAGCTATAACTGACATATAACATTGTATAAGTTTAAGGTGTACAACATAGTGATTTAATATATGTATATATTGTGAAATGATTACCATAATAAGCTTAGTTAACATCTATCACCTCACATAGTTACTTTTTTTTTTTTTTTTTTTGTCTTGTGATGAGAACTTTTAAGGTCTGGTCTCTTAGGAGCTTTCAAATGTACAATACAGTGTTAACTGTAGTCACCATGTTGTACATTACATCCCCAGAACTTATTTATCTTAACTAGAAGTTTGTACCTATTAACCACCTTCATCCATTTCCCTCACCCTGCTTATTGGTCATCAAAATGACTACAGTTGACCCTTGAACAGCACCGGTTTGAACTATGCAGATCCACTCACATGTGGATTTTTTTTCACTAAATACATACGACAGTACCACACAATTTGAGTTTGGTTGAATTCACTTATGTGGAAACAATACAGAGGGCAGACTGTAAAGATAAACGTGGATTTTCAACACCTGTGTGGAGGGTCAGTGCCCTTAAACCCTGTGTTGTTCAAGGGTCAGATGTGTTTGTTTTATTTATTTTTGGCTGCATTGGGTCTTCATTGCTGCCCGCAGGCTCTCTCTAGTTGCAGTGAGCAGGGTCTACTCTTCATTGCAGCACGTGGGCTTCTTATTGCAGTGGCGTCTCTTGTTGCAGAGCACAGGCTGTAGGCATGCAGGCTTAGTTGTTCCACGGCATGTGGGATCTTCCTGGACCAGGGATCGAACCCATGTCCCCTGCATTGGCAGGCAGATTCTTAACCACTGTGCTACCAGGGAAGTCCCGAGGGTCAGCTGTATTTGGATTAGATGTTCTTTTGTATATTTTGTTTGTTTGTTTATTTATTTAATTTTGGCTGTGTTGTGTCTTCATTGCTGCGTGCGGGCTTTCTCTAGTTGCAGTGAGTGGGGGCTACTCTTCCTTGGCGGTGTGTGGACTTCTCATCTCGGTGGCGTCTCTTGTTGCAGAGCACAGGCTCTAGGTGCGCGGGCTTCAGTAGTTGTAGCACGTGGGCTCAGTAGTTGTGGCTCGCAGGCTCTAGAGCGCAGGCTCAGTAGTTGTGGCACACGGGCTTAGTTGCTCCACGGCATGTGGCATCTTCCCGGATCAGGGCTCAAACCCATGTCCCCTGCATTGGCAGGCAGACTCTTAACCACTGCGCCAGCAGGGAAGCTCCTAGATGTTCTTTTAAGGTGCTTTTCAACTCTAAGATTTTCTACTTCTCAATAACCACATTTTTGATTCTTCTAATTGTTTTCGTGTTAATAAGAAAACATAATTGCATTAACAAGTGTTAAATGACAATGATGCATAGCACCACTATGATTATTTTCTGTGACCCTTTTCATTCTAAACCTTCTGGCTAAGTAGTCCTCTTTTTTCTTTGAGCTCATCCACTTTTGACCCTCTCTTTCCTGTGGGGATCCCCCTGCAGAGCTGATAGGCCCTTGCCTCCACTGGGGCTTTAGAACAGCTGTCATCCAGAGAACCAAACTACACAGTCTGCAAAAGAAATCTGCTTTGTAATTTTTCAGTGACTAATTTCCCAGTATCCCATATAGTATACAAAAAGAGAGTATAGACCATGAGAGTGTGTGTATGTTAAAGTTTTATTGTTATCCTGTTTGATTCTCATCTCTTTTTTTTTTTTAACATCTTTATTGGAGTATAATTGCTTTACAATGGTATGTTAGTTTCTGCTTTATAACAAAGTGAATCAGCTATACATATATCCCCATATCTCTTACCTCTTGCGTCTCCCTCCCTCCCACCCTCCCTATCCCACCCCTCTAGGTGGTCACAAAGCACCAAGCTGATCTTATGAATCAACTCCTAAAAGTTTAGATTTGAATTTTAACTTGTCTAATACCAAGTTTTATTTTTTCATTTAAGGCTATTTCTGATGCTTGGAAGCTATCCTTTCAGCCGTAAGGATGGTAATAAATCTTTGTCTCCCACAGTTCAGACCAAGAATTTACTGCAACAAGGTAAACAAAACAAGTATATACACATAAATAAATATATGACATCTATTTTTCATGTTTTTCCCCATTTCCTGCCTTGTGTATGTAGACTTAATTCAGGCTTAATGTGCTTTCACCCTCATTGTTTTAGAGTCTACCAGATGATATTTAGGTAAGCATGGGTCAGACTGCACCTCTAGAGTCAGACAGCACCATTACAAGCTGAGTTGTGACTCATTTTGTGGAGGGTTCTCTTCCCTTTGACAGTAAATTTTAATTTCACTCAAGGTCAAAGTGAAGGTAGGAATTCTCTCTCTCCCATGCTGTTGTTCTTGCTAACTTCTCATGCTAGAAATAATGGCTTATATTTGTTATATGGATTCCTTGTTCTTTATTATTTGAATTAAGCTGCCTCCCCTTTTGTACAAAGCTGGATATCTTCCACAGTCCAGAGCAGGGAGTAAGGAAACTCCAAGGGGAGAATTGAACTTCTTCCCCAATTTGGAATTTCTGCACACAGCACATTATTTCAGGTTCCCAGATTGTTAAGCTGAGTCCTTCAGACAAGGATATCTTAAAATTTCCATTGGTTATAACAGGTATTGGAAACATTAAAAGGGAGAAAGGAAAAAGCTACTCACAGTCCCACCCCTAGCACATTCACTGTTTTAAATTTCCCATAGTCTTTTGTGGTCCTTGTCTCTGTGCAAACTTTTCTTTCCAACTTTCATCATTCATAGATTTACAAGAAGTTCCTTTGTTATGCCTTCCTAGGGAAACTCTTATAATTGATCAAGTCCAAATACAAAATTGAGAATTTCAGTGAACATCTTTATTTTTCCCTAAATCTGTACATTTTCATCCTCTGAATTTAAAAGCAAAAAAACCCCCAAAACCCAAAAACAATCTAAAAAACACTTGTAAATCTGCCCCCTTTTCACAGACATGTTATTTTGAAGGGATTTTTTGTTGGTTAGGCAGAGTTTTATTGCTCATTTTTTAAGGATGGGCAGTATTTGGGGACACAGTGGCCCTCAGCCTTTGACCTGATCTTGGATGCCTGCCAAAAAAAAAAGAAAAGAAAACCCCAGGAAAATTTGATGTAATAGAGGAAATTTCAAATGAGGAACTTCAGATTTTCTTTAAAGAGTTTTCTTAGAAGTGACAAGTTGTTGAAAACTAGTTGTCTTCATTTGGATCTCGTCAAATCAATGTGTCTCATTTTTGTCATTAAATCTAGATATCAGCTGATGGTTATGAAGTAGAAAATCTCATCTCTGAAGACCTCACAAAGAGAAGTCATGGTTTTAGGACAGAGTATTTCATTAAGCCACCAGTCTATGTGACAGTTTCCTTTCCCTTCAATGTGGAAATCTGTAGGATTAACATAGACCTCACAGCTGGGGGAAGCCAGAATGTCACTGGCCTGGAAATGTATACATCTGCCTTGTCCAGCAGAGTGTCTTGGAATACCCCCGAGTGCCAGACCCCAGGCCCAGATGAGCCATCCATTCCGGAGAAAGAAGCGTTCACTTTGGTGGGCAAAGTCTTGTTGAAAAACCAGAGCCAAGTGGTGTTTAGCCACAGGGGCTTCAAAGCCAGGCCACCTTTTGGCCCGATGGAAGCCACACTTCCCTCCCCTGCTGTTGTGGCCCAGGAGCTCTGGAATAAAGGGGCTCTTTCTCTTAGTCATGTGGCCCATCTCAAGATTTGTATCACCCATGTGACAGGCAGTGGTATCCCTTGTATCAAGCGGTTGGAAGTATGGGGTCAGCCAGCCAAAACCTGCTCTCAGGAGGTGATAGACAGTATTTTGCTGGTTGCCTCAGAGAGCCTCCCTCAGGAGTTGTCTCTACAGGCCCCAGCCTTGCCCATGGAGAGTGACTGTGATCCTGGGGGCCAGTCTGAGGGCCAGCAGGCCCCCTCCAGCCTACTGGAGCTGGCTGAGGTAATTCGGGATGTACCTGAAGAGTTCCTGGATCCCATCACCCTGGAGATCATGCCTTACCCCATGCTGCTGCCCTCAGGCAAGGTCATTGACCAGAGCACGCTGGAGAAGTGTAACCGTAGTGAAGCCACATGGGGCCGAGTGCCCAGTGACCCTTTCACAGGAGTAGCCTTTACTCCGCACTCCCAGCCCCTGCCTCACCCCTACTTGAAGGCCCGGATCGACCATTTCCTGCTCCAGCACTCCATCCCTGGCTGCCACCTGCTTGGGAGAGCACAGACTGCATTGGCAGTGACCCCTTCTTCCATTGCTCTGCCCTCTCAGAAAAGGAAGATGGAGCAGGGTGAACATGCCCCAGACAGTAGCCTTGGCTTAAATGCTTCCTGTTTTTCTACCACAAGCCTTCTGGTCTCACCCACTACCTCAGAGCACACTGCTAAGAAAATGAAAGCTGCCAGTGAGCTCATGGATTGTTCAACAGGTAATCCCTCGTTTTATGTCCAAGCCCGTCGTCATCTCTACTCCTCCCGGGTGACACTTGGCACTTGCCCTTTGTTTTATGCTTTGCTGGCTTAAATTACACCAAAACTTACTGGCTTAAAGAACCACACATTTATTATCTTACAGCTTCTCTGGTCAGGAATCTAGGCATTGCTTAGCTGGATTGTCTGCTTTAGGGTCTTCCAAGGCTGCTATCAAAGTGTTGGCAGGGCTGCGGCCATCTCAAGCCTTGACTGGGGAAGGATTAACTTCAAAGGTCACTCGTGATTGTTGCAGGATTCAGTTCCTTGCTGAATTGTTGCACTGGGGGCTTCACTTCCGTTTTGTCTGTTGGCTGGATTCTGCCCTCAATTCCTTGCCATATGGGCCTCTCAGGGGCAGCACACAACATGGTAGCTGTGTACACCAGCATGTGCAAACAAGTGGAAGTCAGTCTTGTAGAACCTAATCACAGAGTGACATCCCATCACTTTTATTGTATTCTGTAAGAAGCAAGTTACTAACTTCAGGTGGGGTTCATTGGGGGCCATTTCAGACACTCTCCCACACCATTGATTCCTATTTTATTCAATGTATTTACCCAAGATTGGTGGTTGGATTTTGTCTAATGCCTTTTCAATATCAGTAGAGATGATATTATGATTTTTCATCCTTAGATCTTTTAATACAGTAAAGTACATTAATAGGCTTCTTAATATTGAACCACTGTTACAGTCCTGCAAGAAACTCCATTTGGTCATGCTGCTTTTAGTGTACTGCTTAATTCTGTTTGCTAGTGTTTTTATTTAGGATTTTTGCCTTCATTAATGAGATTGGACTGCAGTTGTGTGTGTGTGTGTGTACAAGTACACATCATCTTCTGTCAGGTTTTGGTATCAATGATTTGCTCCATAAGAAGAATTAGGATATTTTCCTTTTCTAAACTCTGGAACAATTTAGTAGTATTAGAATAATTTACTCTTCCTTCCTTCCTTCCTTCCTTCCTTCCTTCCTTCTTTATTTCCTTCCTCCCTCCCTCTTTCCATCCCTCCCTTCCTCCCTCCCTCCCTCCCTCCCTTCCTTCCTTCCTTCCTATCTATCTGTCTGTCTATCTATCTATTTATCTGTCTGTGCCGGGTGTTAGTTGCGGCATGCAGGATCTTTGTTGCTGAGTGCGAGATCTTCGTTGCGTCATGCGGGATCTTCTTTTTTTTTAGTTGCTGTGTGCGGGATCTTTTTTTCTTTTTAGTTGCGGCATGTGGGATCTAGTTCCCTGACCAGGGATCGGACCCGGGCCCCCTGCATTGGGAGCGTGGAGTCTTAACAACTGCACCACCAGGGAAGTCCCTCATTTACTCTTTACATGTTTGGTAGAATTCCCCTGTGATTGTTAGTGCTTGGTGCTTTTGGAGATAGCTCTTTGACAACTTTTTCTTTTTGCTTATGAAAACTAGTTTGTTTAGATTCTGTCATTCTTTTTTTTTAACATCTTTATTGGAGTATAATTGCTTTACAATGTTGTGTTAGTTTCCGCTGTATAACAAAGTGAATCAGCTATGTGTATACGTATATCCCACCCCTCTAGGTCGTCAAAGAGCAGCGAGTTGATCTCCCTGTGCTATGCAGCAGCTTCCCACTAGCCATTCATTTTACATTTGGTAGTGTATATATGTCAGTCCTACTCTCTCACTTCGTCCCAGCTTCCTCTTCCCTCCCGTGTCCTCAAGTCTGTTCTCTACCTCTGCATCTTTATTCCTGTCCTGCTACTAGGTTCATGAGTACCCTTTTTTTTTAGATTCCATATATATGCGTTAGCATACGGTATTTGTTTTTCTCTTTCTGACTTACTTCACTCTGTATGACAGTCTCTAGGTCCATCCACCTGTATCATTCTTTAAAGTTCCTCTCTTAGTCTAAAAGGCTTATGCAAACAGCACACTTAAAGGTTACGTATGTATCTTCTCTGGCTTTGAGTGCAAATTTTAGTTAACAAGACCCCCAGAAACTCCTGGAAGCATCTGAGGTGCAGTGGGGCAAGATGAGGAGAAAGGTACTTAGACCTTGATGTTTGTGGAGGTCTCCAGTGGTGTTGGCCTTGACAGATTTGTTGGTGACACAGGACCACGCTGACCAGTGCTCCTTCAAGGCCTCAAGCTGATATCCTATGTCCTACATACTGTAGACCAAACATTCCACTCCCCGCTTTGAGGTACTTTTATGGTGCTACTTTGGGGAAGCCCTGCTATCAGGCAGATCTCTATGTCCTTTCTTCAGCAGCGGTCCCCATCTCCTGTTACCTTCACCCTCAGCCCATATCCAGAGAAGGCCCTATAGATAGTGGAGTGGGCAGAGTAAGGTCTTCATTATTCCACTCGATAATAACTGCTTTGCTTTACCTAGGAAGCAAGAGGACACGAACACCAAGGGAGTGCAGGCCAGTGGCCCTGCAGAGTTGAGGGGGCCCTAGCAGGGAGGAGATGGGGAAAGAGCAGACTAAGGCTGTTGGGGAGGGAATGGGGGCAGGGAGCAGGGGTACAAAACTGTGTGTTTACTTGCCCCAGTCATTTCCTTGGCAGGCAGGGAGGCCTTCAGAAAGTAGGGTACAGTTCTACAGGTGAGCCAGGAGGTGGCCCAGGCCTGCCCAGCAATTTGTACAGGAGGAGAAAAGCTTGCGCAGAGCCCAGGAATCCTGAAAGCAGTGTGGGATGGGTAAGAACTGCCAGGGGCCCCAGGGCTTTAACTCCTGGTATCCTGTCATCACAGTCTATTAGTAGACATTAGGGAGGACCTTCTTTATGTTTGTGTCTGTTTGAAGTTAGAAGTACCATTTGTGGTTCTCAGAGGACTTTGTGTTTTGGTCTTCGCTTTTGCCAAACCTCTGGATATTGTGGTCTGTGCGTCTCTCAACAGGTCCAGTATCCCATGAGCAAAAGCTGTCGCAAAGCTTGGAAATTGCCTTGACGTCAACCCTTGGCTGCATGCCCTCCTTCACAGCTCGGCTGACCAGGGGACAGCTCCAGCACCTCAGCACAAGAGGGAGCAGTACTTCCTGGAGGCCAGGCTCCAGCTCGGGTAAGAGGGGCCCTGTCTGTCTCCTCAGAGCCCTTGAACAGGATGCCGGGCCATGCCTCTGGGGCTCTGTGAACCTCTATGCCCAAGCTCCTTAGCTCCAACACCCAGGCCTTTACTTTTCCAGGGTGAGTTCAAGGGCTGCCTATGAAGTTTAACTCTTCACAAGAAAGTCTTTCTTTAGTCATTTCTTAGTAATTCTGTGGTGTTGGGGATTGGTGTTTTTTGGTAAGATCTAATGTTAATTACTCTGTCCTGAGGACTTTTGTTTGTTTCTCCCTTTTTGCTTATTTTTCTTATGTAGTCTGTCTCTCATCTGACATCTGGGGTACTTTATGTAAATGTGGAGGGTGGTTTCAAGTTGAGTATGTCATCTTCATCCCTTCCTATTAACATTTTCACCAGTATCTTAGAACAGTGATAGCTTACTGAGCTAAGTTTTGCCTAAAATGAACCTGGGACCACAATGGATGATAGAATCGGTTAGGATACAAAGTGAGAGAATCTGGAGCATTTTTTACAAGATGAAATCTGGTGGGGGCTAATGATAAGGTATACACTTGCTTCCTCCTGCCTGTCCAAAGTTAGTCTGTTCTCTTATTGCCTGGATCCCAGGCCATCTTACCTTTTCTGCCCTTGTCCCCTCCTCCCTGTCTCTCTGATTATGTTTCCATCCTAATCACTCCCAGAACCTGTCTTGTCCAGGTGACCAGCAATTTCCATGACCCCAAATTCAATGGACACTTACCCTCTCAGCAGTGTCTATTGTGGCTAACCAGCCTCTCCTTTCTGAAACACCTGTCTTGGCCTTCCGGATGCTATGCTCTTTTTCTCCCCATTTTCAAGAGTCTCTCTTCAATTTCCATTGCTGATTCTTCCTTCTCTTCCAGACTCTTGTCTTAGACCCTCTTGTCTATACTCTGTGTCACTCAAGTGAGAGCCCACTTGGCCTGTGACTGCCCATATTCACCTGTAGCTCCTTCCTCTCCTTGGAACTCATACCCTGACCTCCCTTACAGCTTCTTGGTGCCTCTGTGTGGGAAACTCATGGATATCTTAAGTGAATTTCTAACTCAGAACTGCAGGCGCCTCCAAAGGTTTTTCCCCATAGCCCCCCATCATCCAGTCACTGGTAAAGAGCAAGCATCTTCTACCCTGTGGTCAAGCCTATAACATGGAGGTCATCCTTCGTTTCCGTCAACATTCCTGACATTCTGTTCATCATCAAGTTTTATTTACACTGCTCCAAAATAGATCTCAGGGATGTCCTCTCTGCTCCATTACTCTTGCTGCTACCCTGGCCCCAGCTCCTGCACTGCTCCCCCAGATTCCTGTAGCAGCCTCTGCTGCTCCTCCACGGTCACCCTTGCCTGCCCATCCTCCTCATAGGAGCCAGAGGAATCTTTTTTTTTTTTTTTTTTTTTTTTTTTTGGCGGTACGCGGGTTTCTCACTGCTGTGGCCTCTCCCATTGCGGAGCACAGGCTCCGGACGCGCGGGCTCAGCGGCCATGGCTCACGGGCCCAGCTGCTCTGTGGCATGTGGGATCCTCCCGGACCGGGGCACAAACCCGTGTCCCCTGCAGTGGCAGGCGGACTCTCAACCACTGCGCCACCAGGAAAGCCCAGAGAGGGATCTTTTTATGTAAGCCAGATCATGATACTCCACTTCTTAGAATCCTTCCAGGGTATCCCGCTGAACTTGGAATAAAATATAAATTGCTGCCTGTGAGGTCCTGCGTGTTCCAGCCCTGCCCCACCCTCCTCTGCCACTCTCTCACACATCACACCTTTGTTTTTTCTGTTTCTTTAATGGACCAGCCACTCTTTGTACTTGCTGTCCCTTTCACTCATGCATGGCTGGCTCCCTTTCATTCGTATGGCTCTTCACCCAAAAGGTCATCCTTGCCCTCTCCAGATGGGTGTGGACTGGGGGAGAAAGAGCAGCCTCCCTAGGCCAGGGCCACGAGAGAAGGGCAGCAGGTATAGCTTGGGGAGGAGGGGTGGCAAGACCTGCCCGCTGTGGCCCTCATTCAGGAGACTCTGTGGGAAGCATGAAGGAGAGAGCCTGCAGCACAAGAAAGGGATTGATGGGTCAGGAGGGGAACTGCTGGGCTACAGGGCTAAAGAGACTCAGGTGCCAGGCTCAGCAGGCAGGTCTGCTACAGACAGACCTCAACCCTGCCCCTCTGGTGACCTCCGTCCCCCCTTGACCTGCCCAACCTGGGTACCTCAGACCATTTTTTGCTTTTTCTTCTTGTCACATCTTACCTTTCTTGCAGTTTATCAAGGTTGTCAGGGTGAGCTTGTGCCTTGCTCTGACCTTGGCAGCCTATCCAGGGGAAAGTCCATCTTGCTGGGAAAGCAGCAGGAAGGGCCCAGTGCTGCCCAGCAGCCCTCAGAAGCCAGCTTTTCTTGAGCATTCATTGGAGCACCGAGATTTGATTATGGAGAGGATGCTCCCCCGATTCTCAGGCTCTCTGGCATCCTCTCCTCCCAGATCAGTCAGAGGCAGCCTAGGGAGGGAGGAAGCCAGGCTGCTGAAGGGATGCAGGGTAGGGAAGCTTCTTGTCCTACTCCAGGCACATGCCCACCTCCAGGATGGAGCCTGGACTGGGGGCAGCTTTTCCTAACCCTGGCCTATTTTCTTCCCTGATTCACCAGAGCAGCCTGGGAGCATCCTGGGCCCCGAGTGCACATCCTGCAAAAGAGTGTTCTCTCCCTACTTCAAAAAGGAGCCCGTGTACCAGCTTCCCTGTGGCCATCTCCTGTGCCGGCCCTGCCTGGGTGAGAAGCAACGCTCCCTGCCCATGACATGCATAGCCTGCCAGCGGCCATTTGCCAGCCAGGACGTTCTGCGGGTTCACTTCTGAGTGACTGACCTCAACCTGAGAAGACCCATCGCTGGGAGGAGCTGAGGAGGAGCGAGTGGGGGGTCAAAGCTCCTGAGGTCTGGCCAGGTCCCAGGCACAGGGGGGCCCTGCTTTCTCGCGGGCTTTCCCTTTGTCTCCTCCCACAGCATAGCACATGGGCCTGCGGAGTGAGGGGTCAGGGAAGGGGCTCTCCACGCCTGCTCAAGTGGCAATAGGATAACAAAGCCATAGTTTGAGCTGGGAGGGATGGAGGAGATGTCCCTGCCCTCCTGTGCCTCCCTGCCAGCACCCCCCTGCCAGAGCCCAGGGCCTGCTAGAGCCAGCCCCACCCTCTGAGGCCCCCCAGGTCGTCTGCACACACCCCTCAGCCTACAAGGCGGATGTGAATGTGGCTCGGGATCTCAGAGAGAGCCTCCACCTTCAGTGTCACCCAAAAGTGGAGCATGGCAAGGATCTGTGGAGTAAATGACTCAGCCCCTCTGACTGGCAAACCACTCCGAGCCTTAATAAAGCAATGGTTGACATCCGCTGTGGGCTTCCTCTTGTCTGTGTCATCAGACTCCTCTACCCTACCCGCACCCACACAAAGTGGGACTGTCACAGGGCAGCCGTGAGCAGTCACTGCAACCCTGTCAGATTGTAATTTGGGTCAATGGCCTGCAGGGACAAGAAGTTGCATTTGCAGGTGCATCTGATGCATGAGGGTTTGCAGGTGGGTGTGCACGCCAGTTGGGAGGGTTGAGCAGCCCCCTAGGCTGGTGACAGCTTGCTTAGCTGCGTGTTGGCAGAGCTGCACTGCCTTCCGAGGGGAGAAGGTACCTTTTCTGCATGGGGCCTATTTCAGCAAAGATACTTGTGGATAGATTGCATTTTTTTTTCCCATTCAAAATTTTGGAGTCCCAGAGGGAAAATATGTATTCCTACAACTGTTTACTGTATGGAGTAGATCCTAGTCATGGAAGAATATCCGTGAAAAAATACACTCTGCTATTCCCTGTTCCCTCTGAGCATGTTTGGGAAGGAGGAGCACAGTGATGCTTCTTATTTTATTCTTGAGATTTCATCACAGCCACGGGTGGACAGGCTGTGGGGGTCCCTCAAGCCACTCAGGATACTGAGCCATCTGCTCTCCACTACTCCCACAGGCCTGCTGCCTCCGGGACCCTCCAGGGGAGGAGGCCAGCGTTCTCTCTGGCTTCCACGCTTTGCTCACAGGGCAGAGAGAACTATAGTTCTTACACTAATGGGGGAAGGAGGGAGCTTATTAAAAATTCCATTCTTGGACTCCAGATCTAAGAATTTAGAGATCTGGGGTTGGGGTTAGAGAATGTGTTTTTAAGAGTTCCTAGAAGGTGTGTATGGCCACAAAGGTGGCTGTGGAGAGGCAATCCCACCCTCCCCTCTGCCTCCTGGTGACACTTCCCTTGACCCCTCCTCACATGAGCCTCCAAGGTCTGCATTGGTGGGCTTTCCTCTTGGCTGGTGAGACTCCCATGTGTCCTTTGGCTTTAAATGTCTGGGTCAGTCCAGATTATTGCCTTATCTTCCTTGTGTGCTTGTGTTCTAGGAAAAGCCCCACCATTGCAGCAAAAGCAGTGCTACAGAGGGGAGGGCAGTTCCTACCCTCAGCCTGTCATGGCCTCAAGATAACAGCCTATTTCCCCAAGAGCAAGTTCACTGCTGGGAGGCCTTCCCTCTGGGGTTTGTCTTGTCTCTCCCAACCTGGGAGCCTGAGGAAGCCGCCAGCGTGGGGTCAGCATAAAGCACAGAGTGCCCAGATGAGGGCAGAGGTTCCTCCCCTCCTGCAGGGGGCCTGGTGATCTGCATTTTGAACAGGCTGCTGCTCCCCAGGTAGCTCTGGGAGGAAACCAGGCATGGGAGCCCCTGTGATGGACAGGTGGAGCCATATCCACATCCTGGGAGATGCATCCATTTTTATCTTAAAGAGTCCCCTAAAATGAAGTGGTCTTTTCACCACCCTTGCCAGAACACACAAAGCACTGCTGGGCTCCGTTTCTCTCCCCTAGAAAATGAGAATAACTTTTCTCTTGCTGCCAACTAGACTCAAAGGATGTCTCACCAGAGCCCAGGGCAGGCGCAAAGCAGCTAACCAATAAACTCAAAGAGCTGGACTCTATTGACTCTGAGAAGACTCAGGACTTCAAAGCCTTGTGACCCCACTGCCCCCTTGCCTGACCACAGGGTCTTTGGGGGTACATGTCCCCTTTCCTGTAGCATTTACTCAACCCAAAGTCCATTTGGGGGCATGCAGCCCTGGGCCCTTTGAGAGCGGGAAGCTGGGCCCCAGTGGCTGGTCTCCAAATCTTCATCCCCAAGGTGCAGAGTGAGGCCTTGCCCCATAACCTGGCCGTCCCCTTGTGGGGCCAAGGCCCCAGGCCTTGGCTACTCCACCCTCACTCATGCTCGCTCTGCCTTCGCTCTCCAGCCCCAGGGGCAGGCAGAAAGGAGGGCCACTCAGAAGTAGTCCTGAAGGTAGAAGAAGTAGGGAAACCAAATCACCAAGAGGAGCAGCTGCTCTGTGCCCCAGAGTACTCCATCTCCAGGCGGCTGCATCTGGGTCCTGGAGCTGAAAGGCTCCCCCATCCCCCCGTCAGCCCTGCTTCCTCCCATGGGTCTCCAGCCTGAGGTCGCTCAGTTGCTGGGTGCTTTTCCATTCCCCAAGAAATGGTCCTCTGCTGCCTGGGTTGCTGTAAGGAGGTCTGCAGACAAAGAGGCCTGCCCCTGGAGGGACCCCCCCTGCCAGGCTGCTGCTCACCTGCGGTCTGCAGTATTGTGATGCTGGGCTGGCTGCCTGTGTGCTGGCCACGGGGGCAGGGGCGGGGCTGCTGGTGTGCTGGGCCCTCCCGCGGAGCTGCCCTCTCCCCTCTCCAGCCCACACCGGCCTGCTTGGCCTCTCAGTCCGCTTACACAGGCAGGATCTTTCCTTCCAGTTCTAGGTTGGAAGGGGCGTGGCTGGATTGGGAATTGGCCAATAGAGTGGCTTTTTAAAGTAAATAAAAATAACTCAGGGGCTTCACTGGTGGCGCAGTGGTTGAGAGTCTGCCTGCCGATGCAGGGGACACGGGTTCGTGCCCCGGTCCAGGAGGATCCCACGTGCCGCGGAGCGGCTGGGCCTGTGAGCCATGGCCGCTGAGCCTGCGCGTCCGGAGCCTGTGCTCCGCAGCGGGAGAGGCCACGGCACTGAGAGGCCCGCGTACCGCAAAAAAACAAAAAACAGAAAACAAACTCAGTTCCTCAGTCACACCAGCCACATTTGAAGTACTGAATAGTCACATGTGCTAGTGGCTACCCTGTTGGACAGCACAGATACAGAACATTCCACCATCAAAGAAAGTTCTATTGGCCCTTGGTGTTCCCTTTACCGCTTAGGAACCTGTCTCCCGGGAAGTAGGGAAACACCCCTACACGGGGGTGGAGCTTGTAACGGAGAGCAGGACAGTGGGGTAGAGAATCAGATGCGCCAGCACCTTGCCGGCCCCCACCCCCACCCCCGACCTGGCAGAGGCCGTGCCCACAGGCTCCTCCCTGCTGTAATGCTCTCCCTCCCTTACAAAGAGATGCCTTGGCCCAGAGGGTGACAAGATCTCCCGAGTGGCACAGGGAGGAGGTGAGGAGGAAGCAGGAAGAGGCAGCCATGTGGCAGTTGGCAGGTTTTTTCCACCAAGGTTTGCATCAGTAACAAGGTAATGCTACCCATAGCCATACTACTGAGAGATGACCACTCAAACATGGCTCTCCTGGCTCTTTTCTCTTCCAATAATTTTTTATAAGGAAAAAGAGGCACGTGTATATACTGTGTGGTTCTGTTGCCTGCTATTTCCCTTAACATTATTTAATGGACATTTGCTGTCATTACACACTATTCTTATTATAAAGATCTTTTTGAAGAACAAGCCAGAATAACTAGAAAAAATCTGAAAATGAACAGTTTGATTTGGGGGTGGGGAAAACTAACCCATGAAAACACAGACAGAGCAATGAAAAAAATTTTTAAATCCAGTAACAGACCCAACTGCATAAGGAAATTGGGGCGGCGGGGGGGCGGGGACCTCTCAGCAAGTGGTGCTGGAGTCACTGGAAGAAGGAAACCATCTAAGAACTAGAAGAAGATGGAAAATGAGGAAATTCTTGTAAAGCTGGAAGTGAGAAAACCTTTCCTGATTTCAGAATCCACATATAGTTAGGGGAAATATTGATAAAGTTGAGTACATACAAAATTAAAACAAAAAAAACCTCTTACATAGAAAAAGAAAGCCACCATTAGCAAAGTAAAAACACAAATTACAAACTGGGAAAATACAATATGTAAGTTGTATTACAATGGTTAATATTCCAATATATAGCTTCTAAAAATAAAGACACACAAAGAAATGCAAATGGCCTTTTAAGCATGTCAAAAGATGCTCAACCTTGCTCATAAATACGATGAAATAAAAATACGCCTGAAATACCACTTCTTGTTTAGCAGATGGGCACAAATCTCAAAATTTGGCCACAATCTGCTGATGAGGCTGTGGGAATGCGAGGAGTACACCCTCTGTGGAGGAGAATATCTAGCAAAGTTACATATGCATGATCCCTCTGACCCAGCCATCCCACCTATAGGATTCTAGCCCAAAGATTCTTCGGCAAAAAATGAAGAGAACGATTCCAACCCTACCAACAGGCAGCCTGAGCAGCCAGGGCTGGTCTGGGGGGCTTAGAGCCACATCACCCCCTGTGGAGTGGCCAGCTGTGTCCAGGAGATGGGCCCAGGAACAAGTGGTTTGCACACACATGATTTTGCATGAAATATCAAGGGGATTATAGAGAATTTAAAGCCCATCCAGGTATGAAAAACAACAACAACAAAAAAAAACCTTTGCATTCAGAAGTCTTTCAGGTGGTCCAGTGGTTAAGAATCTTTCTTGCAATGCAGGGGATGCCGGTTCAATCCCTGGTCGGGGAACTAAGATCCCACATGCCAAGGGGCAACTAAGCCCACACGCCAGAACTATAGAAGCCCAAGCACCACAACTAAGACGCGATGCAGCCGAAAAAAACAAATAAAAATAAATAAATAAGTCTTTTAGAAAGTTTCTATATATTGAGCATGCCGTCCTGGGAATTGTGCTAAGCACTTCATACATATTATCTCATTTAATCCTCACAACTCTCGGTAGAAGGAGTAAGCCGAGGCCCAGTTCCATGAAGAGCTCATCTGACTGACTCCAAGGCCACCAACTTAACCCCTGAGACACTCTGAAGGTAGTAGAGGCTGGCAAAGATCAGGCGCAGGTCCCCTCTACAGGGGTGGCCTGGATGTTGTCACCACAGAGCCGCTAAGGATCCCTCCATTGAACGGGAGCCTAGTGCAGGGAACGGGGTACTGCCAGCACTGATCTGGTGGGAAACCACCCAACTCCACGACCTACTAGAACCTTTCCACCTGGACCCAAGTCCATCATGAGACCCAGAACTAAAGGCACAAAAAATTCTATGGAATAACAACTCATGACCAAGCTACAG